AGTCAGAACCTTGAAGCAGGTGTGGTAATCAATAACTAGGACCAGGTGTGTCAATCAGAAACTTGAAGCAGGTGTGTGGTAATCAATAACTAGGACCAAGTGTGTCAATCAGAAACTTGAAGCACGTGTGGTAATCAATAACTAGGACCAAGTGTGACAATCAGCAACTTGAAGCAGGTGTGTGGTAATCAATAACTACGACCAGGTGTGTCAATCAGAAACTTGAAGCAGGTGTGGTAATCAACAACTAGGACCAAGTGTGACAATCAGAAACTTGAAGCAGGTGTGGTAATCAACAACTAGGACCAGGTGTGTCAATCCGAAACTTGAAGCAGGTGTGGTAATCAACAACTAAGACCAAGTGTGACAATCAGAAACTTGAAGCAGGTGTGGTAATCAACAACTAGGACCAAGTGTGACAATCAGAAACTTGAAGCAGGTGTGGTAATCAATAACTATGACCAGGTGTGTCAATCCGAAACTTGAAGCAGGTGTGGTAATCAATAACTATAACCAAGTATGACAATCAACTTGAAGCAAGTAATTCAGAATTTAGAAACTTGGACCAGGTGGGCAGGGAAAGCAGAAAGTGCGATTAACTGAAATAAACAAACAATATAGCAAGGTGAGCACAAAGTAAAACACAAAACAAATGGCAACAGAAGAAAAGTAATAAAGATCATAACCAAATTAAGACCAAACTTAACCAGACCAGAAAATTTTTATAGATTATGATGCCAGAAAAAATAAAAAGAACAAAAAAAAAATCCAGACTGGCAGGCTAGAGAAGGTTTCTTTAACCTGAACAAGGGTAGCAGATTGGGTGACCCTTTCTAACACAGCTTTCTTTCCCATTTTTCTCAAGTCTTTAACTTTATATTTGTCAACAGTAAAAACATTTATTTAGTTGATAATATTATGTTCTCATGTTTGCCATCACTGACATTTGTAGACACAATCCAGTAGCTTGATAAAGTGTTTCTTAAATTTTGAATATTCATCTACCAAACGCCTGTAAGCCATGACTGCCTAGCACTCATTTGCTTTCACATTAACATATTTCTATAATGTTTCATATTCCCTCAGCTTGTAACTGTGATCCGGACGGATCTCTGCAGGGCGGACTGTGTGACTCACACACAGATGTGGCTGCAGGGCTGATCTCAGGTCAGTGCCGGTGCAAAGCCAACGTTGAGGGAGAACGCTGTGATCACTGCAGACAGGGATACCATGGACTGGGAGAAATCCCTGATGGCTGCCTGCGTAAGCCACAACTACTGTACACAAGCACGGTGTGTTCAAACAGATGCATCAAATGTGCTGATGAATTGTTTCATGGTGTGTCGTGGCAGCTTGTACCTGTAACCTGCTGGGAACTGTGCCAGGAGCAAACACCTGCGATTCAGACACAGGGCAATGCTTTTGCAAACGACTTGTCAGTGGACACAACTGTGATCAGTGTCTGGTATGTCTACAAACACGATGTCAGATTCATCTGGGGTACATTTACCCATCGATATTCAATGTTTTTGTAAACAGCCGGAGCACTGGGGTCTGTCCAACGACATGGACGGTTGCAGACCCTGCAACTGTGACCAAGGAGGTGCTGTCAACAACAAGTAGGTCTAACTAAAAACAGCTGCTTTCTTTTTCCATGACTTATTTAGGTGTATACATCATGAAATGATGGCAGGTGAAGAACTCAAATGAAGGCAGAGTGGTATACATGAATGTTACATAATAAATGAACCCAATCATTGTTCTTATTTTTACATCCGTGTAGCTGTGACCCTCACTCAGGCCAGTGTATGTGCCTGGAGCATATGTTTGGACGCCGCTGCAATCAGGTCGAGTCCGGCTTCTACTTCAGCTCTCTGGATCACTATACGTATGAAGCAGAGGATGCCAAGCACGGTCCTGTGAGTGTGTAATATCCCATCAGTTTTAAAGCTGCTTCCTCCTCAGACATGTATGCTTCAGCATTCTGGATGTGCTTCTGTCTCTTAGGGCGTCACATTAGTACATCGACCTTACCCTCAGGAGAGAAGCCCCACATGGACTGGGATGGGCTTTGCTAATGTCCCTGAGGAAGGGTTTTTAGAGTTTACCATCAACAACCTCCCAGTGTCAATGGACTATGACATCCTTATACGCTATGAGCCACAGGTAAGAGACACAGTCAGGCTTTTTGCAGTTTGGTGGATATTTTCAGATATGCTTTTGTTGCCGTTTGGCGCTTTTTTCTGTTTCAACTTGTTAAGAAAGTTGTAAAAGAACTACTACATAACATTGATGCCTGTGTTTGATGACAGCTGCCGCAGCAGTGGGAGCACGTGAACGTTGGAGTGGAGCGTCCAGTCTTCTACCCTCCAAGCTACTCCAGTCACTGCAGCAGCTCTGACCAGAGCGGAGACGAGCAGTACACCTCTCTGCCACCTGGATCCAGGTAAAACACGGCTTCAGACGACTGTAAAGTCACTGATGACACACACTGATCCTGTGCTGTGTTGCAGGCATGTGCTGCTGGTGACCCCGGTGTGTTTCGAGAAAGGACTGAACTACACGATCCGTCTTTCTTTCCCATTTTACTCATCCATCAGCAGCGTCCAGAGTCCATACACTCTCATCGACTCCGTATGTTGATTTTATGGTTTTCTTTCTTCATGTTTTTCATTTATAAAGCCATCTAAGTTGTTCGTAATTAACAAACAAACTGACACCTTTCATGTTTATCCTGGATGTGCGCCACACAGTCACCTAACAAGCAGAAAAGCCCTAAACCTGCACTCTTTTATGGTTTCCTGCACCTCATTAACCCTCCACACTGCTTTAGTTGGTGTTGATGCCTCGAGTCGGACAGCTGGACATGTTTCATGGGCCAGAGGGTGAAAAAGCGTGGGATACTTTCCAGCGCTACAGATGTCTGGAAAACAGCCGGAGCATCATCAAAAGTCCCATGACGGACATCTGCGATGATTACATCTTCAGTGTGTCTGCTCTGCTTCACGGAGGAGCTATGGGTATGAAGTTATTGTTTTAAAATGAAATCAAGATTAAAAAAGGGACTTTCTCTGTTCTCGAAAAAGAGAAACCGAACATGACAAAACAGTTAACTGAACTCATAGTTACTACTACTAAAGAAGCGCAGTGTTTTGAAGCAGTCGATGATTCTCATTAAAATATTTCTAAAGTTCCGATTTTATTCCCAGCATGCCAGTGTGACCCTCACGGCTCGCTCAGCACCGTTTGCGACTCGAGTGGCGGTCAGTGCCGGTGCCGACCCAACGTGGTTGGCAGGAACTGTGACCATTGTGCTCCAGCTACTTTCCTGTTCAGCCCTGCCGGCTGCAGACGTGAGTATCAGATATCACTCCGGCTTGTGGTGTGGCGCCCGCTCTCTTCCCCCCATTAACATTGATTTCACCCCCAGCTTGTGACTGTGACTCTCTGGGCTCCATCAGCCCCTTCTGCCACGAGGCAACCGGACATTGTGAGTGTGTCCCGGGAGCCATGGGTCGTCAGTGCTCCCACTGCCTGCCAGGTTTTTGGGGCTTCCCTCAGTGTCGACCATGTCACTGTAATGGGCACAGCGAGCACTGCCACTCTCAGACTGGAGAGTGTCAGGGCTGCAGGGACTTCACTACGGGACATCACTGTGAGAGGTACGGAGTGACAACGATTAGGGAACACGCCCTTCAGTATCAGTTTTATTTAGTTTGCATGTTCCATTTCATTTGATTATGTAACTTATTTTTTCTGTATCATAATTATTTACTCTAAAAGGACACATCTCAAACTAATTTAGGGGGACTTTTTTTTATAAATCTTTATCCAGATCATTTATAGTTGCACTCAAAATACTGAAATACACATCTGATTTAATTTAATCCTCACATATGAATTATTATTTTATCCCCTACTATTAGAGATTTATGCATAAACAATGTTTAATATTTTTTGCAATAATCTCTTTCTGGCATTGTTGATGACTAAATTAAGCTGTTCTTTAATGGCATTTCCACAATTCTATAAAGGCTTCAGGGATATATTTGTTGTATTTTTGGGAGCATAAAGTTTTGAATTTTATTGACGAAGCAGTGGAAGTCAATGTTAAAGCTTCTAAAATTAGACTCTGTAAACAAGACTGGGCTCAGGAAGGAGCCCTGAGGAATTCCGCTTGAAAATGTGGCATCAAAATGAGGCAGACATTTTTGCACATTCTGTTTTTCTTATGTTTTTAACACTATATGTAACTGTATTGCTTTTCACTATTAGTGTTTAGCGTATTCTTGTATCTTAGATCATTATGTTTCTTTTGATTTATATTTTTGCTATTGTTGGATGTAACTGGGACCCTGTGTACACAATTTCGTTCCACCTCATGTACCACATGTGATGCGAATAACAATAAAGAACCTTGACCTATATAGAGTGTTTTCCAGGCCATCTATATGTCCAATTAGAGTCATGGTGTAAAAACGTAGATTTATGTTATGGCTGATTATCCTCAGTACTAGATCAAACCTAGTAGGGGTCAATTAAAAACTTTCTGACTTACTCTCCAGATGTTTGAATGACGTAACCTCATACTGTTTTTGTTTTTATCTATAGGTGTTTGAATGGTTACCATGGTGACCCAGAACTGGGTTCAGGAGACCACTGTCGTCCCTGCATGTGTCCGGACGGGCCGCGCAGTGGTCGGCAGTTTGCAGAGAGCTGTTACCTCTTAACCAGCCAGCTGGTGTGTGTGTGCAGCCACGGCTACAAAGGTGTGTATAGACAGAGTTTTTCTGATGTGTTTTGATGTCAGCAGCTTGAAAGTGTAGTTTTGTCATCACGTCTTCAGCTCACACACTCGCCACGTGTTGCAAACCCAAACAGCACTACAGTTCCCCTGTCATTATCTGTTTGGTATCTCTCCTTAGGTTCTCATGTCTGTTTTATTCCTCGTTTAGGAGCCAGATGTGACGAGTGCGCCCCCGGTTACTATGGAAACCCTCTGATTCCAGGAGGGAGATGCATGCCCTGTCAGTGCAACAACAACATTGACATGCACGACCCCCGGTCGTGTGACGCTCGCACAGGTGCCTGTCTCAAATGCCTGTACCACACGCAGGGACACGCGTGTCAGCACTGCAAAGTCGGTTACTACGGCAACGCCACCACACAGAGCTGCAGGAGTGAGTAGACATCTCTGTGCTTTCCAAATGTTCGTGCAATGAAACGTCTTGGTACGATGTGTAACAATCACCTGTCCTCCTCTGCTAAGAGTGCACGTGTTACTCAGCGGGGACGATACCTCAGGCCTGTTCGTCCCCTGATGACTGCGAGTGTGATCAGCGTACTGGACAGTGTCCCTGTCAGCCCAACGTGGTCGGCCCGAGCTGTAACCACTGTGCTCCTGATACGTGGAACATCGACAGCGGGTCGGGCTGCCAGCTCTGCGACTGCGACCTCGTCCACTCTTACGGATCCTCCTGCCATGAGGTGGGACGGACAAAACCACAAATATGGCATAAAATCACGTAAAAAAGAATACATCTATTGGACTCTTTGAGGCATTAGAGTAAGGACAAGTTTATACTTTAGCGTTACTTCCTTTCCTTTATTGGTCTTCAGGATTTGTTGTCAGAACTTCTTGAATTATAGTTTAAAGCTTTAGACGTTCGTTGCTTTTTGTTCCCATCTCAAACTGCTTTAACTGGATTTGTAACGTAGTTCAGAACATTTTCAGGCTCAAGTGTAAAGTTGGTACAGCATGGTGGATACAAACCTGACCTTCAACCATACCGACTAAAGTTCAGCTCCAAACCAGGACAGAACCTCCAAAAACTGATTACAAGAATGTTTTCTGCTTGAATGGGGGAGATGAAGAAATGAAACCGTCAGGATCTTTACGCTCCGCTGTGAAGTACAGCCAGCAGCTTTAAGTAATCACTGTCGTTTTATTCCCTCATTATGTTTAGTTGAACCGAGTCACCAAATCTTATCTGTCAACAAGCTGCTGTTGCCAAAGTTTCACTCCTCCGTGTAGAAACCAGTGAGGAAATTTTTCCCAAACTGTTCCCACTGAGAACAAACCAGCAGAGCTAAAACCGTCTACCCCACCACAGATTCTTTTGGTATACAGTACACACTCCAGCTATTAGGGAGTTGCTTCATTTTAGTTTTTTGTTCAGCTTTGTTTTACTTAAACGTGCATGTGAAGGACTGAAAAATGTGCACCCGCTCACACACACACATTCAGGTGTTTGTGTTTACTGGCTGCTCGCCAGCAGAGGAAGGAAGTCTCAGAGCCCTTTTTTCTTTCCAGAGAATAGAGTTGAATCTAACTACAAAGCTCTGAGTGAAACAAAAGCCTTGAAAAAATGTAGGAAATGTCCCGTAGCAGAACAATAAGTGTGTATTATTTTCATCTTTGGCCTGATTTGTGTTGATGGTTTCCTGCAGGTTACAGGACAGTGCGTGTGCAAACCAGGATTTGGTGGCAGGACGTGTCGGGAGTGCAAAGAGCTTTTCTGGGGAGATCCAGAGGTCAAATGTCAAGGTAGGAGTTTATCGTTCATCACAAATGTTTACAACACTCAAGAGAGAATGGATCTGTTTTGAAATGCCTCAGATACTTTGAATTTTTATGTTTAAATCTAAAGAATTTAGACTTTACCCATACAAGACAAATTATACTATGCATCCTATAGGCTAATTAAAGTGATAAAAATGGAAAATATAAGCCATTGAAACTCGAAAAAAATCTTTGTTTCTTCGTTTAAATATTTACTAAATGCGCTCAGTTTGGACCCGTGGTGCAAAAATACACAAAACCTCCAAAATAAAACTAAAATCAAACTGATTCTTTGTGGGGAAGCTCTCAGCACACAAGCGAAATAAACTGTAAATAGTTTGAGAAGGTTCAGACATGATCATACTTCACAACAAACGCCTGTACCTTTCATCATTTGCACAAAATATACAATGAACAAATCAAAGCATCTCATTTATTTAACATTTTAATAAGATGCTATGTGTTGCTCTTGTCAAGTTTGATGATCTTGTTGTGTTTTTTTGTGGCACACACGAGCTAACGGACTTCAGCGGTTTTGACAGACAACAGCATGTGAGCAGCTCTGAATCAGTAGGACGCTGCTCAGAAAGTTGTATTATCTGCCCAACAAACTTCTGAAGTTGAACCCATGCACAGTAGCTGGTTCGCCATCAGGAAAGACCAATAGAGGCTGAAAAGCAGGAAAAAAGGGCAAAGACGAGGCAGGAGAAAGGGTAAAAAAAAAATGGGAGTGACCTCGCTCATGGGAACCAGATGTTCTCTGAAGATTCCCAGGCATCCACGTTTCGTCACGGACCAACAACCAGAGATCCCAAGATTCATAATTTATTCCAGCTGTAATCCCCCCTGGTCCATAAGCTGTTAGTCCAGCTGGTTGTTGCTTCCTATCAGCACAAACGATTCATTGATGCTGCGGTTTTATGACGAACAATGTGAGAAACGAGTGGGAGGGATGAGCAGTTGGCTCCTATAGGATGATCTTAGGTGTCTAAAGTTAATATGTTTGTCTTGCTAGTTTTTTCAATTTGTTGTACGATAAAACACTATATTTTTATAGTTTGTAGCCACCATTTGACTTTACAGGTGTTATATTTGACCACGACAGAAACAAAATGTTCATCAGGATCCAGTTTGCTCCGTAGATATAAATAAATGCAGCAGAACTGTGTCTCTGCATTCTTTCTGTCTGACTCACGATGGTCCTCCGTTTGAAAGGAGGAAAGGAAATCCTCCTGTTTGTTTTTCCTGCAGTGAACTGAAGGGCTCAGCAGGACCTCCTGGGTCGAACTCACATTAAAAGTAGTTGTTTTTTTTTTACTGTAGGTGAAAGAGTTAGGGGGGAAAAATTAAATGGTTAGCAGAGGAAACATAAAAACTTTAAATTGCTGTAATCATACAAGTCTTTAAAAAGTGATATTTTAGTTTGGGGTAGTGCTAAAATCAGTCTTCTGTAATCTGGATATTTTTTTAAAACACTGACTTTATTAGAACCATGAAGATTTCTGCTAAAGTTGCTGCAATTATCATATTTATGTAGTTAATAGCTGTGATTTGCAAAACATGTTACTTATACTGATTTAGCCAAAGATAAATATCACTCTTTTCTTTAGTTCACAGTAAAACTTCAGCTTGATTCAACTCCTTCTTAATTACAGTATTTTTTTAACTATAAGTTGCTCCGGTGTATAGATCGCATCAGTCAAAAAAATGCCTCACGAAGAGGAAAAACCATATATAAGTCGCTTCGAAGTATAAGTCGCTTTTATTTAGAAGTCTATTTCACAAAGTGCAAGAACAGACATTTAATGTGAAATAGCAATAACACACAGAACATACCTGGGATCCTGAACAGGCTTAATCAACATCACAAACCAACGAGCTAACGAGCTAACAAGATAACAAGCTTGCTGCTCGATTACCGTTTTTGGGCTGCATATTTTATTACCTGCAGTTTGTATTCTGCAGAATAGGATAGTCCTGTCGCGATAAACAATAAATCAATTAATCGCATGATAAATGAAAATTATCAACCTCATTTTCGTTTATCGGCTTTATCATTTCTTCGTGTCTCTCTTTCTACTGAAGACACTGGATGACAAAAGGCTCATATCCGGTGCTCTTCACTGACCCCTCCCTTTCTCTTTAAAATCTGTTTTAACCATCCAAATCGCATTTTTGGATCATTAAAAGCAGCTAAACTGAGAATCTAAGCTACAAGCTAAGCTAACAGGCTGACCTCGGGAATAAACTTCCGTCTTGTTGAGCTCCAAAATTCACGGTTGAAACCCGTGCCTTTGTGCAAAAAGTTGTTTTTCTCTGCAAAAAGAAGCAGAGAACTTGTTTACTAGCTTTGTTTGAAAAATGCTATGCTAAAGAGCTCAAATCACCAAGCATCTGCCATGTCAGCCCATGTCACGTCAAAGACCCTCCCTCCCATTTTTCTTAAAGAGACACGCTGCTCAACTATCCATCCTTTGGTTCAAACAGTCTTATACTGCCATCAAGTGGTCAAAAAAGGTACTACACTCCAAACAAATCAACATTTCTTCTAAAATTTGACAATTACTTATTGTTAAATTTCAAACAATATTATCGTTTATTGCAATAATTTCTGAGACAATTAATCGGCCAAGCAAAATTTGTTATCATGACGGGCCTAGAATAGGATTTTCTTTTGGGGGGCATTTTACTTGTTTTAAGTTTTTCTCAGTTGTCTCTAAGTGAATGTTTGTGGGAGGGGGGGGGGAGTTAGCGGTAGAGGAACAGCATATAGTTGTCAAAAGCCTGGAGGGCACTCTCGTGGCTGCAAATAATGATTATTCTTTGCTTCATGTCAGTATGAATGAACATTTAACACGTCAGTCAAAAATTGCGTCATGAATACGAAAAAAGTAAATAAGTCGCTTCGGGCTATAAGTCGCAGGACTGGTCAAACTATGAAAAAAGTGTGACTTATAGTCTGGAAAATACGGTATCTGTCTGTCAATTAGGTCATTTTAGTTTCATTTTAGTTTTATTTTTGTTTTTACTTAAGCAAGAAAATCTCATTAAGATACTTCATCTCCTCTTTAAGGGAGTACTGATTAGGATGGAGGCAAAGAAACAAACTCTACATATTTTTCTACCAGACAAAAATTAATAAAATCATCAACAACTGTCCTTCAATGCTGTTTTTACAAAAAATATAAGCATAAATAAAGTGTTTGAAGGCATTTTGAAGTCTATTTCAGCTGTAAAAGCTCTTCTTTGTTTTCTTTCCCACTGTTTCCAGCTTGTCAGTGTGACCCGCGGGGAATCTCCAGTGAGCAGTGTGACCGAGCCACAGGTCAGTGTACCTGTGTGGAGGGTGTTTCAGGAAGACAGTGCAACGAATGTGCCAGGGGCTACCTGGGTGACTTCCCCCTCTGTGAACCATGTCACAAGTGTTTCGATGTGTGGGACCCGGTGGTTAGCGAGCTGACAGATCAAACTCGACGCCTGGAGGCCCAAGTGACGGAGCTGCTGACCAATGGGGTGACGGAGCCGTACAAAGAGTTGGTCAGCAGCTTGGAGAGAAACGCCAAGGCTGTGAAAGAGATAATAGCGAACAGGACCGCCTCAGTGAAACTGGAACAGATTCAGGATCTGACGCATCAGATCACGTACGTATGCAAACACCGAGGCCAGCTCTGACTGTGTGCACATGCTTCTTTACTGCCGTCTCATTGTATTTTCAGTGGTTTGATGTCTTATTTCAACGGAAAGTTAAATACGACCGAGGATATCTTGAACTTTCTCCACGGTGACGTCAACGTCACGGACACAAGACTTGATGAACTGACTGATGAGGCCAACAAGCTGGAGCAAAACGTTCAAGAGCTGAAGCAGCAGGTCCACGACGCCAAGAACTCCAACATCTACGGTGAGAGATTAAAACCAAGAGAATATATCTAGTTCCGTTTTTGTTTCTGTTTGTTAAGTTGACATTTGATCAATTTTACAATAGTTCAAGTAATTTATTTTCATTTCAGATATTTATAACCTTTTGGCCTTTAAAAAAGTGTAAAATGGGCATACCACAAGGTTCTGTTTTAGGACCACTGCTCTTCTGCCTGTATATTAATGGAAAGTTGTGTTCAGTGTCAAATGTATGCCGACAAAACTGCCATGTATATTACTGTACTGCAAAAACACCACAACAGGCCAAAGAGGTGCTGAACAGGCAAATGGTGAGGGTGCCACAGTGGTTTAAAAATTAATTTTTGCATCTAAATTGAACAAAAGCGTTTTGATGTGCTTTACAATGAGATGCAAAGTGTGCAATCATTTTGAGTGGCGATTGATCGGAGGGAAATTCCAAAACAGGATGAGGTTGATGAGGGAAGTTTGTTCATAATTAAACAAAGGCCTCAAAGATTAAATGTTGGGAGATTTGGTTGTGTAACAATGTGGCTTTACATATACAGTCAATCTGGGTCTCTTACAGAGTAACACTTCAAAAACACTAACAATCACGACAGTTCAGTTTCAATTGCAGACTTTTGCCTCTTCATGTTAAAATATTTGGCCTTTATTTTTGATTGCTACCCCAAATTTGAGCATCAGATTTGTAAAATGCTCTGAACTACGAAGACTAATCTTTATTGATCAGTTTTAAAGTTACATTGTGTTTGTACAATCGAGCTACAGCAGCTTTGATCAAAAGGGGGGCAGTTAATATCGGCTGTAAACCAGCAAAGTTGAAAACTTTAGATAAGCTATTTGTTTCATGCAAAAAGTATGAACATAATTAAACAAAAGCTAAATGTAATGTGTAAAAATAATGCTCAAACCATAAATTGGAGCCAATAAAATGAAGAGACCTAAAACAATCAAAAATAAAATGCCCCACTTTCAATGCTACTTTCTTTTATAAATTAACTCCTATTTTATGCTTTCCAGGAGCCATTAGCACTGTTTCTACAGCGCACTCAGAGTCCAGAATGGCAGAGCAGCGCTCCAATGCTTCAACCAGCGATCCTGGCAACACGGTGGAGCAGTCGGCCGCAGTAAGGAAAACCACAGAGGAAAAACTGATCAGCAGTCAGAAAGAATTTGATCGGAAACACCAACAAAACGAACAGAAGCTGGACAGACTGTCCAAAGAGCTGGATACATTTGACCTGTCCCCTCTTAGTGAGAAGGTGAGAAACTCATAAAACACAAAACGTTACGAGATAAAGGTTCCTTAACCTCATCTTGTCACTTTCATTATATTCTGGTGTTTTATAAAGATGTGTGGAAGTGCAGCTGAAGGTGAAGACTGCCCCCCCTGCGGTGGACTGGGTTGTGTCAGGGAGGATGGAGCGCCTCAGTGTGGAGGAGAGGGTTGCAGCGGTCTGGTCACCGTTTCTAAAACTGTTCTCAAATCAGCCCAGAACCTGGACCAGAAGATCCAAGAGGCCATGCAGGATGTGGACAAGCTCTCCAGGATGGTAAGTGGACACCTTCATTGTTTAGAAGCAGTTTTAAATCAGGTAGATGTGAGCAAATGTATGGACCCGTTTGTGGTCAGGTGTGGGATGCCAACATCCGTGCAAATGAGGCGAAGGCCAAAGCCATGGAGGTGATGATCAAAGCCAACCACAGCAAAGAGAGAGTCGAAGAGAGCAACAATCAGCTCCGCAACCTCTTCAAGGAGATACGAGACCTTCTGTCCAGTGAGTGCTTCTCAGACTGACGCTGTCCAGCTCAATGCAGTCCACTTCTGTTTAAGCTTGAAATCGCTTCACTGTGTCGTTTGCTCTGTTGGCGATCATCCAGACGACAAGGTCGACGCGGATGTGATCGAGGCGGTGGCCAACGAGGTGCTGGCTCTGGAGATGCCAAAGTCGGCAGAAAAACTGCAGGAGCTGACAAACGAGATCCGAGAGAAGGTCAGCTCTCTGACCAGCGTGGAGACGATCCTCAGCCAGAGCGCCGAGGACATCGTGGCTGCGGAGCTGCTGCTGACGCAGGCCAAGGCTGCCAGGTAACTCTCGTTTCTTAGATTTGTTTCCAAGAAAACAGACTTTCTTCTCATCTTCTAATGTAGAGCAATGGATTTTCTGAAGGGTTAGCTTTAATTCTGACCTATAAATAATTCAAAACTTGTTAAGCATAAGATCTTGTTTTAATGTAGATTTAGCTCCTATTTAGATAAAGTCCTAAATCAGGCTCTGAGCTTGGATATTGGGAGTAAAAACCAGTAATCCTGACCACATAATGTGAGAAACAAATACCATATTTTTCGCTGTACAAGTCAATTTTTTTTGCATAAATTTGTAAGTCCTGCGACTTATACACTGAAGCGACTAATTATGTTTTTTCCCCATATTTCTAACCCAATTTTTGGCTGAGATTTGACATAAAAAATATTCAACATTACCATTTGCAGCTAGAGGGCCCTCGAGCTATATGGCATGCCAAGTGCCTCGTTAATAGGTAAAAGTGGCTATTAATGAGACACTTGGCTTGCCATACCAAGCCACCTTCGTCTCGCTCTGGAACTCCTGGAGCAAACGTCAAATCAGCTGCATTTCGTCGTGTCACCCCGGCGAAATGCAGCCGATTTGACCGTTAAAGTGCATTTATTAAGGAAAAGTTCAACTGAGACACACCTTTTGCTATAATGTCGAGCAAACAAATAATTGTTTTTAAGTGTTAATCTTGTTAAATTCTTGTTAAAGTCCTCCTGCGTGTGCTCCCACAGCCTCCATTTTGGCAGCCGATTAATATTTAGCACAACACCGGCCTACGTTTCCGGGTTGTCAGCGGTGACGCATAATAGACGCATGTGGCGAAGCGACTTATTTATTTTTTTCCCCACTTTATTAGACATATTTGGACTGGTGTGGCTTATACAGCGGAAATTACAGTAATTACCATACCACACCATTTTATTTATAGAGCACTTAAAACAGCGACAAGGCCAACCAAAGTGCTGTACAGACAGAACAACAGGTAACACACAAAGCAAAGTTAAGCAAATTAAACACGTTGTATAGAATAATACAATATCAAAATGAATGGAAACAACCCGACCTTCAGAAAACCTGAGGAACTGTTGATCAAGACCACTTCAAATGATTGCAAGAACGTGTGGCTGCTTGGAAGCTAAATATATAGAAGTGAGGTGAATAAAGTTCATTTTCCGACCACTAGTGAGGAGGCGTCAAACATAAAAGAGACAGCGGAGGCGGTGAAGGCTGCCCTGGATGAGACTGAGCGCGCTCAGAGCACCGCCTTGGACGCCGTCCGACTGGCTCAGTCCAACATTGAAGGAACTCGGACCCTGCTGAACTCTGTGAGTTTGACCCAGAAACGATCATGCTCTAAACTTAATCTGCGTCAAATGTTCCGTGTTTTGAGGAAAGTTTGCGTGCAGGCTGTTTAAAATGTTTTTATGGCCGTTTGTTAGGTTGAGTCGGAGACGTCCAAGTCGGAGCTGAAGCTCAGTAACACCACGGGTCAGCTGGTGCAGCTGGAGCGAGAGGTCAGCCTGCTGAGGCAGAACATCCTGGAGATGAACCAGCAGGTGGAAAAGACTGAGCGGATCACGGAACAGGCCAGACAGAACGCCGAGGCGGCGCAGCAGGTCACCCATCAACAGATCGCTTTCTCTGATCACCACCTGCAGCTCATGCGTGAAGCTTAGACCGCTTCTCCACTTCCACTCTCAGCAGCGCTGCGCTTTTATTGTCCACAGGACTTTGACGATAAGGTGAAAGATCAGTTTGAGGAGGTGGAGGTGCAAGTGGCAGATAAAGGGGAGTCGGTGTTGCAGGCAAGAAAGAGAGCAGATGAACTGCAGCAGGAAGCCACAGAGCTGCTGGAGCAGAGCAGCATTAAGCTGCAGAGACTCGAAGGTGAGTGAAAAGAAACGAAATCCTAACTGGAGGAACTGCGTTTTCTGTCAAAATGGCCGCTGAGTGCTGAGTGACTGCTGAAATGTGTTAAAGAATGAATTGTTGACGTTAAAACAAGCAACACAGAAGCTAAAATCAGTGAAACGGTTAAAAAAAAAAAAAGCTCATATACAAAAACTTAGCTAGAAGCTAACATTTGCAAACCCTTAGCTAAAAACTAAATGTAGCTAAACTGTAGCTCAACTTAAGACAGTAGCTGGAATGGAGAAAATTAGACAAAAATAGTTATAAGTCAAAGAAGAATGTTTTTTGAAGAATTAAAGCGTTTCTAACGTATTTCCATAGGGAAGTTTTATAAATAAATAAAAAAGTGAAGTAATTCAAACAAGTATGTTATGAACACTAAAAGTCATAGCACACTCCTCTCAACTGAGCTGAACCTTTTTTATTCATGAATTGTAAATAAATAAATAAATGAAATGAATTTAAAAAAGCACGCAGCAATAGCTTGATTGCAAAAACGTCCCGATATTTAAATAAATATACTAGAAATGGAAAGCACCAGTGGGATTGTGGGAACACAACTAATCACTGAAGTCATACAAGTTCGTCATCAGCATCATCCGCACAAAACAATACTTGAATAAGCAGCTGTCAGTTCCACGTTTAATATTTGTTTTGCAGAGTTGGAGCACTCCTACGAGGCCAACCAGGCCATCCTGGAGAACAAAGCTGTAGATCTGGCTGAGCTGGAGGAAACCGCTCGCCGCATCCTGGACGAGATCAGCCGCAAAGTGACTCAGTACATCTCCTGTCAGTATTAAAAGCTTCACCGGCTGGGAGGTTACAATATTCTGAGTTTACTGCTCCATTTTATGCCTGATGAAACAAAACACTAATATATTTAACGTCGTCAGTGCCAAAGTTTGGCTGCCAGAGACCCTTCAAGTGTCCTTAAGGAAACCACTAAAAGCCAGTGTGACCTCAAACCAAGAATGTGGGGAAATGTAAAAATTCTGCTTCAATAAATGACTGAAACCACAGTTTAACGGAACTAATGTGATGAAAGCATCATTGTACCTAAGAGGCCTAAATATATTACTCATGAATGGTGCTGTGATTTTTTTTTACAAAGAAGAAAGGTTGAATAAAAAAAACAAATCCCTTGTCTTTTTGTGTCTGTTGTTGACTGATAAACACAGATGTCTTCAGAAAAAATACAGATGTTCCTCATTTCTTTAGACCTTTGTGTCTTTTAAAGTGGACTTGATAAACAGTTCTTATGATAAGATAGCATACAGTTTAAGTGGAGAGGCATTGTAGTTTTGGAGGGAAGTTCATTTGTAGTTTTAAAACATTTATGTTTTTTCCTCTTTATGCCTCTTTAGGCCTTCAGGCCCAGGCCTCTCTTGCAAAAGAGATCTGTGATCTCAATGGGATTTGCCTGGTTAAATAAAGGTGAATAAATATTCCGGCGTTGAAAGTTGGTTCAGACGAGCTCCTCACTCTGTCCACTAATGGTCAGTCAGGTCATCTGGACAGCTTCTTTTGTGGAAAGATGTTTCGCCCTCTATCTGGAGGGCTCGGTCTGAGGAGTCCTGTTTTCCTCACTAAGCAGTACACTCCTTTAGCAGACCAACCAGTTATAGTACAGTATAAGTCTCTTCATACTGATGAGGGTGAAACGTCTTTACACTAAAAAGAAACTGTCCAGATGACCTGACGGACCATTATTGGATTTTGTACCTGGATGATTGAGCATGAACTTTGATGTCTTGAACCACTTTGGCTGTGGCTGCCTGCCTGGGAGGAGTCGACGAGGACAGGACAGCCCCCAGAAACCATCTTATCACCAGAGGATATGGTTGGTCCACTTAAGGAGTGTACTGCTTAGTGGGGAAAACAGTTTACTTGGGCCTCCTCAGACTGATGGAAGCGCTCCGTGAAACCTCTTTACCCAAAATTAGAAACTGTCCAGATGACCTGACCGACTATTATTGTATTTTGTACCTGGATGATTGAGAACAAATGTTGATGTCCTCACTCTATATTGTCAAAAAATCCAATCCTTTAAATTTTACAGCGATTCATGCAAAAATTATTATTTAAACCGTTACATTGCCGTCAGTCTCGTATTACACTTATTATTATTGTTATTTTGGCAGAAACATGATGAAATACAGTACACCTCAGGCTGCACCGGAAGTGTCCCACCTTGTTTCCGCTTCCACCATTTATATATTTTTGCTAAAAACCACAAAATAAATTATAATAAACCGAGTTTTGTAAAAGCTCTTGACCTTAAAAGAGTTTAAAACAGTGTTTGTTTGAACCGCTATGACTTGATTTTAATTAAAGTTGTTTAGGAGTCTGTTAAAGACTGCACTTGGGTGTTAGCCTAATAAGCTAACAGAGTTAGCGTGAACAGAGGGTTAATTAGTAGTTTAATTAACCACTTTTGCCAAGTTAGCTTTCGGCTTTTTCACGGTTTTACTTAAAAAAATACAGTACACATAAAAAAAAAACTAACATTATAAGAAATGCAAAATTTACAAAAATTTAAAATTAGGTAACTTACTCCATTTTAGTCGGCTAACTTCCGGTGTAACACCGCCGCCATAAGAAGCAGCATGAGCAGGAAGTCGTGATTAAAATATTACTATTGAAGTATAAAGGGTCTAAAATGTATTAATTTTATAATGAAGTTATAACTTTCAGACTGCAGCCGTTAATGTAACCCAATCCTGTCAAAGAAGCCTTAACCTGTTTTAATATTTACTAAACGTTGTATAATCCAAGTCCAATACTTTAAATAACTGATGAAAATGTTTGATGAATGCAGACTGCTGAGAAATTTTACTAAAGATAAAACTTAGTTGTTGATGTTAAAACCAGAACAGAAGCTAAAAGGAGAAAAACGGCACCTAGGAGCTAAAACTATTTAAACTGTAGCTTAATGCTATGAGCTATATGTAGCCAAAAGCTAAAAATATGCAAATCAAAGCTAAAATGAGTAAAAACTAGATTGAAAAGAATGATGTGGAGTAATTTAAGGATATCTCAATGTAAAATAAAGGTAAATGTTTTATTTTTTAAAAACTGTTCATACAAGCTAACGTTTTTGATACAGGAACGTTAAAATAGCACCAAGTACACAGAAATAGTTTAAGTAATAGAAATCACAGAAGTAGCTGAAGCATGAAACTTGTGCTGATTCAGCTTTCACACAATTATAAAACTGGTTAGTTTGTTATTTTTCCTCTTCCAGAACACTTTAATATTTAATAATCTGAATTACTATTATTGCGTAACACTGACATTGTGTGTGTGTGTCATAATAAAAAAGGAAAACTGCAAACAAAAATAAAACGTAGCTTATTTTCAAGATTTATTCACTGGAATATTAGTTTATACTCTAAATAAATCACCTGCTGAGATGATCTTTGATTACATCAAACATCCCCATGAATCAATATTTACAGCAACTATTAATGAGGTTTCTGAATAATTATCATGTTTAATAATAAAAATAACTTTCCAAATCACCTCGATCTGGGAAAACGGCCAAAGTGAAGTTGTGGCTCCGTCTTTACAGGTTTTTACTGCACAGTGAAATGATTTGTGATTACTCTACTGCTGAGCTTTTTATTTTATTTTATTTTTTACGAGTTGACTGAGTTTAATTTGCATTCTCAAGAACAAACCTGAAGTCACCACGAATGGCAAAGCAAAATACATTTATTTGATGACTTAGCAGCAAAACAAGGCAGAATGAAGCATAGACAGATCATATCAAGGAAAAGTTCTGAAATCGTGGGAATTAGCTGTATTTTTTTAAATTGGGAAGAAAAATAATTTGCACCGAGTGAAATCTAAAAACGACCCCTTTTACAGCTTGAAGCTCCGGTTAAAGTGCTTTTCTCTCTGCAGTCGATGGGGACGAAGCGAAGACCGATTTTAAGGCTGGCGAGTTCATTTTCTGGCTCTAGTCTCTGCTGCAGGGGTTACGAGGCGCCGGCGCTCCTTCCATCGGGGCCGAGCTGGGAACGGAGAGCAGCTGGCCGCCGTGCAGTCGCTCGTTGACGCGCAGCTGGCACCCGTCCTGCAGCATGCGCATCGCTATCCTGCCGATGTTGCGAGAATCGTCCAGGCCGCAGTGAGGACGGCCTTCGTACTTCATCCCCAGCTTCTCCAGCATGGTGCTCAGCTTCGTCTGCGTGCGCGGCACCTGGAGTAAACACGGACATTAAAAAAAAAAGCAGCAACAAGATATAAGAGAAGATTCTGAGAGCGCAGAGTCCAGACACCTGTTTTCTGCAGGTGTTCATGTCAGACCCTCAAGTCACGACTAATAATTAATCCCGTAATTATTCAGATAATGCTGATTACATCTATATATTTCTCTTCTGTAGCTTGAATAAGAACAGCTGACTAACAGAAATCTTCTTCAGAGAAGTTTCTTGTTTTTTTCCTCTGAGGAATTATCTGAAAGCTCCAGGCAGGAGTTTGACTTTAGTGGTAGAAGAAAGACAGTTTGAGATCTGATTCGAGTGTTTAGACTGAAAAGCATCAAAAGTATGATCAATACCACAAATATCCAATATTGTTGTAGTTTAAACTGGACGTGCAAAGAGATTCTCATAATCTGATGGTCAGACTGCTTTAAAATCTACCCAGGTCCAGCCTGAGTCAGACCTCTTTAATGCAGCTGCTACTGCCGCCTGCTGGTCGGAGGATAAAACTTTGATTTATGGAAATCAAACAGACCAACTGACCTCAGAAAAGATCTACATGCAAGATTTAATTAAACACTTTAGAGGAAATTAGTATTGTGACTAGGCCTGTCACAATAAATCCATTAATCACATGATAAATGAAAATTATCAACCTCATTTTCATTTATCAGCTTTATCATTTCTTCATGTCTCTCTCTTTCTACTGAAGACACTGGACGATAAAAAGCTCAACTCTGGTGCTCTTCACTGACCCCTCTCTATTCTCTTTAAAATCTGTTTTAACAAGCCAAAATTGTTAAAAGCAGCTAACAGGCCGACCTCAGGAAAAAAAAAAACCTCCGTCTTGTCGAAGCTCCAAAATTCACGATAGAAACCTGTGACTTTGTGTAAAAAGTTGTTTTGCTCTGCAAAAAGAAGCTGAGAACTTGTTTACTGATTTTTTTTAATTAAAAACTTTGTATGACAAATGCTGTGCTAAAGAGCTCAAACCACACTGAGCGTCCACCATTTTGAGAACTGAAAACCAGGAAGGAGAGACAGCCCATGTCACGTCAAGGGGACTCCCTCCCATTTTTATTAAAGACACGCTGCTCGCTCCCTCACTATCCATCCGTCATATACTGCCATCCGGTGGTCAAAACAGGTACTACATTCAAAACAAATTAACCAATATTTCTTCTTATATTTGACAATAATTATGAATTATCGTCAAATTTCAAACAATATTATCGTTTATCGCAATAATTTCCGAGACAATTAATCATCCAGCAAAATGTAGTTATCGTGACAGGCCTTGTTGTGATTAAAGTCATTAAAGCCCCAAGAACTTGTAGTTGTTGTAGCTTCAGTGTTATCAAACTGCTTTGACAAAAACTACAAATCAGTTAAGTTTTAATGTTGTCCTGGAACATATTTAATATTTTGAAATAAATAAACTGAGAGACAGAAGTATTTATGTTATCTGTTCAAGTAACTAAAACTAAAAGCAGGAAAGTTTCATGATTTTTCATGACCTGATTTATCAGTCATAATGAAGCCAAACTATTCTGTTTATTAATATTTTAACTGTTATTTGCAGGAAAGTGTAGAACGACGTGATATTTCAGTTTACAGTTTTAACTAATTAAAATTTTAAATCAATTTTACATATTACTTTCAATTAGTTGTTGATTAAAAAAAGTTTTTCTGCATATAGTCAACATTTTCATTTTTAGTTTTGGAAACTAGCAAGACCTAATTATTTCTTACTACAAAAGTTAGTTTCTATAAATAAACTGAATACGATTTAGAGGCATTAAATGTCCAACATTTAATCGTTTCATAATAATTTCCTATATTTTTACTTTGACGAACAACAGGACACGTCATAAAATCGAAACTAAACGAATAAAATATAAAAATATATCACTCTGGTTTAGTTCCACTTAAAGTTTTGATACATTTTCTCATGTAAAATGAAATAAAAATGAACATTTAGAAAATGTCCTAACCATACCTTGTAGAAGTTGCAGTAAGACTTCCGTATGTTTATCCACTTCTTAGCAAACTGAGGATATTTGATCCGGCTGAGACGACACTGGATGTTGAGGAACTTGCTCATGTCCCACGACCTGCAGAGCGAGACAAACAAAAACTGATTTAATGAGACGGAGACAACAATCCTGCAGCAGATGTGAGGTGAAAACGTACCCGTCGGTCAGAATGGCGTATTTGTATTTCGTTCCGAGTTCCCTCTCCTGAAGCCAGGCCACGACTCGCCGGAGGACATCTGGAAACGAATCTGCTTCATCCACCATTTTCTACAAGTACAAAACGAATCACTACTGCTGAATCACTGCTTCTTTACCCAGCAGCCGTATCAAAGACCGAACGCGTCCAACCTGTGCGATTCCTGTTAACGTCACGCAGAAGTCTGAGAGCTGCGGGTTCAGCTCGGGTTTCACGTATTCCTGAAACGTGTCCACCTGCACACGAAGCATATTCAAGACTGAATATATTTCTCTGGATCTTAAAAAGATAAAAACGTTCTCAACCCGAGGCTGAACTCACAATCTGTAAGGTGTGCGTGTTGATGAGAACCATGGGGAACTCGATGATCTCATGGAGGAAGTCTGAGGGATTATCCTCTTCACACGTCGCCTCGAAGTCCACCACACAGATATAATCGTAGTAGGTGTCAGTGGGACCCCCCTCGGCCGCAGACTGCATTAGCTTCTGCTTCTTGTAGTGGTTCTTTAATCTCTTCTTCATCACGTCCTTCACTCCTCTTTGCACCAACAAAAAAAAGGCAGATTTTAAATATACAGCTTCTTACCAGTCATGTTCGTCAGTGTTTTAGTTTTCCAAGAGGAAGACCCTAAACTGACCTGGTGTCGAGTTTCAGCTCTGCTAACTTGATCCGCAGCTCGTCCTTGGACATGCGGTTGATGTGTCCGTTGGCTAAAGCGATCTCTTTGTAAACCGGATGACTGAAGTCACTGTCCGACTGGGACGTCTGAGGAGCCGTTTCTCCCTCGGGGCATATTCGGCTGCAGGGCTTTGCCTGCAGAGGAAGTTCAGAGGTCATTCTTTTTATTAATAAGCTTCACAAACACATAGCTATTTCTCTATAGCAACTCATTACAATCCATTCCTGTACAAATATGAGGCTAAAAATTGTTAATTTGATTTTTGAAGGAGCTTGGAGGACCGAGCCTCATGTCAGGGGGGGTTTCCAGTTGTTCTTAGTAGTCACATCAAAGCAATCAAACCCAAACAGAGGGTGCTTTTAACAGCTTTAAAGATCTACTTTATATCCTACAATAAGATTTTTTAATCCTCGAGGATCTTCTTTTTTGACAGCTTTCCAGAGAACTACTATTAGCTCAATAACCAGGTGAGATGCTTTGAAGCCTTTCATGAGGTGGATTTAAGAATCATTTGAAGGGTATTGCATTTAGTTGTAACATCATAAAGATTGTGAACTCCATGCCTTGACCCTAATTCAGTAGCAGTTTACTAAATATTCGCCAAATTATAGCAAATAACCCCTTAATGATGATTCTAGACCCAAAGTATCTGCAGATTATATTTATTTGTCAATTAAATTATAAATTTACAATAAATATATTGTCATTCCACGATTTTCTCGACATATCTGCAGTTTTAGACGATTGGTCTCAATAGCACGTGACTTAAGTTATTCAGTTTTCCAGGTAGCTGAGGCCTTTTTTCAAAAACATGTACATAAAATAAAAGCATAGTTTCGTGTTCGCTCACACCAACCTTCTCATCATCTTGTGTGTCTGTCATCTTCACATTCACGTCGTTGCCATGAATGTTTTCCTTGTGTTCATCCATTTAAAATCAGCCTCTCCAGAAACTTAGCAGCGATTTTAAAACCAAGACTTCATGTAAAAAACGTAAATTTGAACATTAGCTAACATCACCGCCTTATTTACTTTTTAAAGGAATCGAGTCTGTTTGTCGCTGCGAGTACGGTCGGAAATTATAAAATAAATGTATAACTAAATTGATTTAGCATAAAGCTAAACGACTGAAAAGACGCTCCGTGGCGACGTTAAACTTTGTTTTTAGAAAACTGTGGACTGCTGTGACCGTTTCCGGTTTGCGCCAAAAACCTCATGGTGCTCACTCGCGCCCCCTGGTGTTGCGGATGAACAAACGCCATTACCCACAATCCCCTCTGTTCAAAAAATGGTTAAACATTTAAAAAGTCAAATAATTACTTCTTGTTCAATTCCATGTGTTTATATTAATTATTACTGTAAATTGTTTTATATTGTAAAATCCTATTTTCATCTATGTCCACATTATTTTGATGTTTGTGTTTTCCTGGTTCAATACTCTTGTCTGATTTTGATGACATCTTGCTGATCTTTGGTGATCTATTGAACATTCCTCTCTACTAAATAATAAAAAGACAATCTGCTGTACACAAACTTAACAGTAGCAGCATCAGTTGCTCAATTATTTATACAAAAAAATATATTATTTAGTATTTTTTGTGTGTTGCATGTTTTTTTAAGAGCAATCAGCATAGAAAATAATGTAATTCAATTAAATACAATTGTGTGCATTTGGGGAATGCCTCGTAAAGAAGCTAAATACATTATTAAAACATGTTGATAATTTACAGATAAATCAGTGAAATATTCCATGATGATCTTTTATAACAGTAAATATGCTAAAATAAATTGATATTTAAAATAAACTACTTGTTAGGTTGAATGTCTTGTGTAAAATAAAAACTACAATTATTACAAAACTTTGTTTGTGAAAATGTAATATATTAAGTGTTTAGTGGGTGTGTATTAAAATGTATTTTTCATATTATCAAAGAAAATGTAGTTATGAGAAACTTGTCACTGTTTATGTAATTTTAGGAGCACTGCTCATATTTAACCACTAGGTGTCACTATTATCTGCATTTTGATTGAAATGCCAGTTGAACCACACTGCGCATGCTCACAATGTCGAGCGTCCTATGCAGTTTAATTTTCATGCTTAATTATTTTAATGTAGTTACATTACATTCTGAGTAATAAATTGTGTAGAAATTTTTAAAAAATGTTTTCTCTCTGTCAGACCACCGTGCTTCACAGACAAAAATCATTTTAAATTTACATTTGATTTTTATTCTGCTGCCTGCAGATCATCCCTGCCCTGCTGAGAGATATTCTCTATAATGCATGAGATGAAGGGGGGAATAAAAAGGCAACATCTTAGAAAAACAAAGGTTTATTTTTTTTATTTGGAAAAAAAAAATCATGAAAATCTCAACTCATCTATAAAGAACATAAAGAAGTGAAATCTTTGTATATGGGTTTGTGTTTCTTCTTACAAAAGTAGAGTTCAGGCCAATTAAAAACACACTAATGCTAAGAAATAAAACAAACCTTATTTTAAGAGACACAAACATTACGCAGGAGAGAGGAGCTGCATTGAAAAAGGCATCAGTCCCATTTCACGCCCTCTAATCATCACAATGATTCAGGGTTTGGGAGATCAGAGCTACATTGTTCACTTCCCTCCATCTAGACTGGGATGCTGCATTCATGTCATGTGGGAAAAAAACCTGCCAATATGATACTACCACTTGTGGCAACTGTTTCTTCACAGAGCAATTTCAATAACAGTGATTTAAAAAAATGGAATTTTCAAGTCATTGTTGAGTTCTGAGAGAGACAAATGTGAGAAAAGCTGAAAATAAATCAACAGCAGATATTTTTTTTTTTTACATTTTAAACCGTAAAATGAGACTTTTCTCTCAGAGCAGCACTATTTCCACTGGACTTGAACGCAGCACTGCCACAAAGGCTTCACATAAAAGTCGATTTGTTCAAGTCACCTCATAAAAAAGGCATTCTGATGAGTCAAACCTGCTCACATTTAGAGTTTTCTTCTAGCCCTACAGGCTCTGGTTCATGTTTTGAAACTCGGCACTGAGTTTCCTTCCTCACAGTTCATGTGCACGACTTTGCATGTTAGTTTGCAAACCACATTTTTCTCCTCACATAGCTTCGAGGAACGACTACTAGCTAAAACACACAAACATATAGGTTTGCATACACTGACAACAAACAAACAAACAAGACAAGAGGCAGCTCTGATGGTTTTCTGGAGTTAGAAAGTTTGGGGAAATTGTCACTTTTTATTTTGGCTTATTTACCATAAAGATAAAAACAGCTGGTGAGAGATCAGCTGAAGGCTGGAAGCAGGAGGTGAAAAGGCTGACTTCGTCTAAAGGAGATAAAAACCTGCTGATCAGCACCTCACATGCTCATAAATGTACATGAATGGCATTAACCTGTACAAACACAAGTAATAAAACACGGCAGTGAGGGTTTATGAGGCGTTTAAGTGCCACTTCTTTCCAGGAAACAGCCTCTCAAGGGAAATAAGGTGAAACTAAAAAGTTTATTTTTACTCATTTAAAGTGAAACGTGCACCTTCAGTTTGTTCTGAGGTGTTCAATTAGTTTATAGGCGTTTTCTAGAGAGGAAAAAAAATAATTATGGGCTGTTCTGACAGTTTGTGAAAACTGTGCTCAAACTAAAATAAATGCTGAATCAAACCCTGAACTGGAGTTTGTTCTGATTCATCTGTAAACTCGAGGGCTGCTTGATTTGATTATTTTTCCAGATCAGGCGATCCTCCTCTCATTCTTCCAGCAAAGCGTCTCCAGACTTTAGCTGTATATGTTTTGTACAAACACGACTGAGCTGTTCCTCTGTGACACACACACACACACACACACACACACAAAGACAAACACACACAAACTGATATAAACACACAAAGAAGTCAAACAATCGCACAAAAACTGTGTCAAAAACGCAGACAGTACAGATCAGACTTTATGAGGATGTTTGAGTTTCTTGTAGCTGTGTGGTTTCAGAGCTGATCCAGAGTCCAGGTCCAGGACACCAGCCTGGGAGGGGTGGTGGTTCAGAGGTGTGGCTGTAACACACTTCTTCACAGGACAGGAAATGAAAACAAACACGAGCCCATGGATTTAAAGCTCAGACTTCAGATTGTTGTTGCAGGGTGGCAGGTTGATATTTGTTCATTTTCAATCAGCATGAATTACTGCTCAGGTGCATTCTGGGTAAGGCTTTTCAGTTGTGGGTCCATGTGCAGCCCAGAATCAACATGGGTAAGGCTACATGTAAACTTCTCCCTGTCCTCGGCACTGTCACAACTGCTCTGGGGTCAGTGTGGGAGGAGCAATCGCTCCAAAGCGCACTGCAGGTGTTCCCAGTTCTTCCACAACAGCGCCAGCATGGACACGCCCACGCAGGTGAGCGCCAAGTGGAGGCGGCTGCGCAGCAGCGGCGCGGTGAACTTGGCCGCCGTGGAGACGCACACAAGGATGACGGTGACGATGGCGAGCATGATGTTGATGCATTTTCCCAGCAGGACTCTGGCGTCTGTGTTTTCCAGCTGAACCGTCTGCTGCTGCTGCTGCTGCAGCTCCAGCTTCGACACGCGGGTCTGACATCCCTCCAGGACCTCCTGCATGGAAACACACAGTCAGGTCAAAGGTCAGGCAGAGCAGAGGGACACACAGGCTGGCAATGAACTGAAAGCAAATGCATTAGGAGAGAGGCATTCATCACATCAGAGATAACTGAGGCGCTTCAGTGTGGCTCGTCTTAATTTTCTTTTTTTTTTAATGGAAAATAAAGTGTGAACCTGTGAAAGTTTAACAAATAATAACAATTAAGATGTGTGAAAACAAAAAAAAAACATTTGATTAAACTTTCCAAAAGAAGACTTAAAGTGACAAAAATTCTCTTTAATAGGACCTCCAACTAAACCAGCCTCTAGGGAGCACAAGCCAGTGGATCTCTAGTTCTGGTCCCAAGTCCTAAATGGTTTGTGACAGGAAGAGCATCCGATCTGACAGAAAACACTTCTGCAAAACTAAGCTGAAAGTTCACCTAAGAGACACCATACCAGATCGGTCGAGGCCCGGGTTAACAACGATCATCACCGGTGCTGTTGACAAACACGGCACCTGCAGAAATTATGCTCCTGTTTGTCGAAGACCACGAGGAGAGAAACGTGTCAGGAGAAAAGAGGAGAAGAGGAAAGTGAAGAATGTAGGACTGAGGGTTGCAACTCTAATGTGGGGACAATGACAGGAAAAGGTAAAGAGCTGGCTGACATGATGCAGAGAAGGAAGGTAGATGTTTTATTTGTCCAAGAGACCAAGTGGAAGGTCAGCAAGGCTCGCAGTATTGAAGCAGAGTTCAAACAGTTTTATTATGGTGTGGATAGAAAGAGAAATGGTGGAAATGAAGGAGGAGTTGACAAAGAACCTAGTAGAGGTGAAATAGTGTCAGATAAGGTGATGTGTCTGAAGGTAGAAGTAGAAGGTCTGATACTAAACATCGTCAGTGGTTATGCTCCACAGGTTGGATGTGATGAGGAGGAGAAAGATACATTTTGTAAAGATCTGGATGAAGTGATAGAGAGTGTTCCCAGGGAGGAGAGAGTGGTGATCGGAGCAGACCTGAATGGACATGTTGGTGAAGGAAACAGAGGGGATGAGGAAGTGATGAGTAGGTTTGGTGTCAAGGAAAGAAACCAGGAAGGACAGATGGTGGTGGATTTTGCCAAGAGAATGGAAATGGCTACAGTCCACACTTGTTTCAAAAAAGAGGGAGGAACAGAGTGACTTATAAGAGTGGAGGAAGGAGTATGCCGGTCGACTACATTCTGTGTACAAGAGGAAACCTGAGAATGGGGACTGTAAGGTTGTGGCAGGGGAGAGTGTGGCCAGACAACAATGTATGGTTATGTAGAATGACTGTTGTTGTTGTTGTTGTTGTTGTTGTGAAGAGAAAAAGAGTAAAATCAGAGAAGAAGACCAAATGGTGGAAGCTGAAGAAGGAATGATGTGAGAAATTCAGAGAGGAGCTGTTAAAGGCTCTGGGTGGTAAGAAAGAGCTTCCAGCAGCAACAGTAATTAGAGAGACAGGTAGGAAGGTACTTGATGTGTCATCTGGACAGAGAATGGATGATCAGGAAACCTGGTGGTGGAATAGTGAAGTGCAGGATGCCGTTCAAAGAAAGAGATTAGCCAAGAAGAAATATGACAGTGAGAGGACTGAAGAGAGGAGACAGGAATGTAAGGAGATGTGATGTAGAGCAAATAGGGAGGTAGCTAAGCAGAAGGCGTATGATGAGTTGTACGGGAGACTGAACACTAAAGAGGGCGAGAAGGACTTGTACCGATTGGCAAGACAGAGGGATCAGGCTGGAAAGGATGTGCAGCAGGTTAGGCTTGTTAAAGATAGGAATGGTAATGTTCTAACAAGTGAGGAGAGTGTGACGGGAAGATGGAAAGAGTACTTTGAGGAGCTGATGAATGAAGAGAATGAAGAGTAATAATAATCCTGAAAAGATAATCCTGTCAGAAGACATCCATCAGAACAACCAAATGATGCATCAGGTAGACACAAAGTATTTACAAAGGGAGTCTCCCGTCTATTTACATCAGAAAATCCCAGGCCTTTCAAATAAATAATTTTATAAACATGACTGTCATAAAGATGTACCGGTACATACAACAGATTCCATTACCCAGAAAAACTCCACAGTTTTTTATTGTTTTAAATTTTATCTGACGTAAGAGAGATGCAAACCGCCGGTAGTCTTTTTAAAACTCAAGTTTAGAAAAATAAACTAGATGAATCCAACTCTCGGTGCTGCAGAGAGTTTTGATCCATTTTGACCACCAACATGCATTTATTGGTTCTGCCGTAAAGTCAAACTTTAAGAAATGGATTTACATCTCTAATTTTCAGAAACTTTCAACATAAAATGTATTTTCTTGTTTATTTTTCCTTGAAATAAAATGTATACCAGAGGGTCTGAGCAGCATATAAATAAACACTGTCTCAAGATGTAATTTTAAAAACTATATAACAAAAAAAAAACATCCTTTAGAGAAGAACTTTCCTACTAATATCTGCCTTCTAAACATGATAAAACAGGCAGTGGAAAATTAAAACTGTTATAATTTAATAACTCTGGCAGTAATCCTGCAGAATTATTATTATTTTTGTTCCAAAAAAGATGGAAGAAAGGATACCTTTATTAATTATTCAAAATCCAACTTCCCAAACCCAACACACCTGTCAGACTGGGCACTTCTCATTATTTGAAACAAACTAAATAATTCCTTAATCTGGGGTAAAAGACACAATAGATCTGGAATTCAAAGTGTTAGTCTCGTTTAGTTTCAGTTTTCACCTAAAACAAACCCAGTTACAAAGACATGTCCTTCATCCAGCAGCTGTGATTACCTGGATATCTCTGGCCCTCTCGTAGGCCTGGTAGGCCACCTTCTCCTCAATACTGGCCAATTCCTGCTTCAGGTTACTGGTCTCGTGCTGGTGCAGCTCTGTCAAGTCATTTAGCTGGTCCTCCAAGCGCTCGTACCTGGCAAACACACACCCACACACACAGGCCAAGCAGCAGGGATAGAACCAGAAACATCATTAAGATTGTGTGTGGGTGCGTGTGTGCGCAAACAAAATAATGCAGAGGTTGATCTGCTGCAAGCGAAGCAGCTGAAAACGACTGGTTGACTTAGTAACAGGCTGATATGAGCTCAAGTTCTGGCTACTTTAGGTGTGTAAAAACCAAATAACCCTCATGAATGAAGAGGATATGTTAGATGGGTTCTGTTATAATCCGGCATATTGACTGTAACAAAACAAGAAGCAACGTGTTTCATCTGTGACTCCACCCACCAAATATCTCACCTGGATCTGAAAACCTTCATGAGACTATTCTTACATTCTCACCTGTATCTCTCCTCCTGCATCACTTGTGTAAAGTAGCTGTAGTCTCTTTTGAACTGGGAGTTCATCGTCTCCATGTCCTCCGCCAGCTGAGTCTGAGCCTCCCTGATCTCCTGCACCATGTCCAGCACCTCCACCAGGCGCCCGTTGGACTCCGACCTCCCGGGCCCTCTAGAGCCAGTCTCTGCCGCTGGGTTCCCGTTGGAGTCAGCTGAAGCGGACGTCCCTGTAGAGCACTCGTCATCGCTCTGGTACTTGGGGGTTTTGGCTACGGTTGTGGCACTGCCGCTCAGACCCCTCGTCGCACCCTCCGCATGCAGCCCCGAGCCCGTCTCCATGGAGTTCTTGAGGTGAGCGATGTTGTCCGCGCTCCCAAACTTGTTCCTGATGAGGTTGGCAAACTCGCGCGGCTTGTTAAAGAAAAACGGAGGCGAGAGTGACACGCCGGGTCCGATGGTTTTAACTTTATCCATCGCCGGGTGTCGCCCGGCGCCCCTCATGTCCTGCAGGCTGCCCTCTTTGCTGTGAGTCCCAGAGTCTTTGCTGCAGCCATCTTTGTGGCTGTGTTTGCCGTTGGTCTCGCTGTCCTTCATGCGCCGGTGGTACTGCTCCAGCTTCCTCTGCAGCCGAGCGATGCTGTGCGCAGACTTCTGGTTCTTCTTCTCGAACACCTGACGCACCCGAGACATCTGCTGCTTGTCCGCATTGTTCACCAGCTTCAGGTACTCTGCGACGTTCTGGTCCCGCACTTCCTGCTCCACCTTAATCTGCTCCGTCACCTACAGTCACACCAAAGAACAGAAGGAGACCTAATTAACAAAGTTGACTTTTCAAGACTAAACGTCTTACTTGTCAGCTTCAAAACTGTTTAATGCAAACAGAAATATGCTTAGCTGCTATAAATCACTAACAAACAGCGAGTATAAACACAAACTTGTTTGTAAAATTTAAAAAAACTACACAAAACCTTTAATAAAATCTGAGCTGGCATAAATGCAGGTTAGATCAACCCAAAACAATCACAAATAAACTAAGTCACTTTAAAACCCACAGTTATGCTTCAACTTTGTTTACATTTTGACTCGTTCAATCATAAAAGCAGGCGATCATTTGACCTTGAGAATCTTCTGTTGCAGGATGTCGATGCCCAGCGCTCCTTTAGTGAAGTCAACACCGACGCCGTCATGGCCGACACTGTCGACTACATCCAAGTTGGACTCGGAGCCGCCGCGGCGAATGGGCACCGGGATGCTGAGGATGTTGGCGTCGCAGCCGCTGCGCTCCGCCTGCAAACACAACGATGTGTGGTTAGAGTCATGACAAATAAGCTCCTAATCAGACTATTTCAAATATTCAAATACTATAAATGTGTAAATACCAGCTGCTGGAGGTAAGAGTTGAACGACAGTTGTTTAATTCTGTATTTGTTGAGTTTATTTAAGACAGAAGTTGAGATAAGGAAGTCTGTTTTTGAATAAAACACATTTTTAAACCCTTTCTGGGTAATCCAACAAAGTTCAATCAGATCATCTGGATGGTTTCTTCTTTTTTTGTTGTTGAGACGTTTCATCCATCATCAATCTGAGGAGCCACAACAAACTCAGTCCTGCAAGCAGCACACTCATAGTGGAACAAACTGTTTGATGGTGATATGATGATTTCTGGGGCCTGTCGACTCCTCTGAGGCAGCCGTAGCCAAAGAGGTTCAAAGCATCAAAGTTCATCCTCAATAATCCAGGTAAAAAAAAAAATTCTAACAAACTTTTCTGGGTAAATGCACCTTTTAATATTTCGGCTCCTATGCAGGATGGGAAACAGATAAATTAAATCCAAATAAGTAGATGAAGTAAACCTCGTTACTGAAAGAGTTATAACATTAATGATCAACCTCAAAAGAAAATATGTTTCCATAAAATCATTTTACTTGTGTATTTAAAGACATTTCACTTCACTAAAAGACCGACAAAACTTCCCAAAAAGTCAAAGCACAAACATTATTAAATGTATGAAATATACTAAAAAGTAATGCGACTCACTGAAGGTATAGAGAAAATGTAATCTCTTCAGAGTGCACTGAGAGTGAAAACCAATCACAGCAGAAATGTGTAGTTTGTACATGAACACATTCGAGCTCCAGTCTGTTCAGGGTTTTAGTCAAAATCAGAAACCTGCTGATTAATCCTGTCGGTGACAACATGCGATCCGTGTTCTTACAGAAACGCTTCTTTCATCCTGCTGCGAGTCACACAACGAGAACATCAGGAAAGACAGGAAATCTGAATGAATAAAGACAATTCACCAAAACACCAACAGTGAAGGCTCGAGGGGATTCAGGCTGCAGGGAACTGGATCTTCATGGAGTAAAACAGATGAAAGTAAAAATATTAGGACGTCTAATGACCACAGAAGCAACTAACACACAAAGCGTCCCCCACAGAGAGAGGAGCAGAACACAGCGCTGTGGCAGATTGTGCAGAGTCAGCGTCCATCATAACTCACAGCAAATAACAGACCCACAGCAGCAGAACACAGACGCAGCATCTTCTTATCAGCACGACGACGAGGCTCTCCAAACACTCCCGAGATCATTCGGTCAAACACGGGACGTGACTTCAGAACATGCACAAAATAGTGCAGATTTACAGATGTGGTAGTAGCTGAGAGTCATTCGATGCCTACTCTGAGCGTGACATCTGGCAGCTAGTAAGTCAATTAACTGACACCTTTGTTTTTGTTGTTTATCTGAAAGTTCAGTTCAAATGGATTTTTAAATTTTTTACCTCACTATAACTTAAGATATACATAAAAAAAAAAAAAAATCATAAAATCCTAGATTTATTTCATTTTAATCTGCCAGTTTTTTAATGCTCAGCCACATGTAACATGATGTGTCCAATAAATAAAAACATACCTAAATGAACCAAACTCCAAAGGATTACATTGTGCTTTTATTAGGCCTGTTACGATAAAAAATCTGCTGGGCGATTAATTGTCTCAGAAATTATTGCGATAAACGATAACATTGTTTGAAATTTGACAAGAACTAGTAATTATTGTCAAATTTAAGAAGAAATGTAGGGTAATTTGTTTTGTGTGTAGTACCTTTTTTGACAACCGGATGGCAGTATAAGACTGTTTGAACCAAAGGATGGATAGTGAGGGAGCGAGCAGCGAGTCTCTAAGAAAAATGGGAGGGAGGCCCCTTGACGTGACACGGGCTGTCTTTCCTTTTTTTTTTTCGGTTCTCAAAATGGCGTATGTTCGATGTGGTTTGAGCTCTTTGGCATAGCATTTTTCACATGAAGCTTTTAATTAAAAAAAAAAAAAATCAGTAAACAAGTTCTCAGCTTCTTTTTACAGAGGAAAAACGTTTTCCACGAAGGCACGGGTTTCAACCGTGAATTTTGGAGCTTCATCAAGACGGAGGTTTATTTCGAGGTCGGCCTGTTAGCTTAGCTCGTAGCTTAGCTTCTCAGCTTAGCTTCACAGCTTAGCTGCTTTTAACGATCCAAAAACGCGATTTTTGACAGTTAAAACAGATTTTAAAGAGAAAGGGGGGGTTCCGTTAAATCACCAGCTTTACGATACAATATATATATATACGAGATTATATAGATTTGTTTGGATGACGATATGATTTTTCTCGCTATCACAAAGTCGGTCACGATACCATTTCGATTTTATTCGATTCACAAGTCTGCCATCGTTATATTGTAAACGAGTCCTCGAGGCTCAATGGGATTTACTTGTTTAAATAAAGGTTGAATGAAAATTGCGATATCAAATGCCCATCTCATTTACATATAAATCAATTGACAAAAACAATTCAAATATGATTTAACCATTTTAGTTCTGTTATTACAGGCACCAGGCATTTAAATAAAAAAAAACATGCTTTCTTAATTAATGATTTTTTTTTAAAAGACGTATTTCTCATGTTTAAGTGCATTTTTTAAACCAGTTAACGTAAAAAGTGCCCTGATTACCTTCCAGTTATAAAGAAACAAAAAATAGATATTGAGCTTACATAACATGACTATCAATGCCGCGTTTCTTCTTCAGGTGAACGGCAACATTTGTTGTTTCCCCGAGTATTTGAACTCACACTGGCGCCTGTTGCACACGACATGAGTTCTGTCTGTTGAGCCGTCCTTCTGTTGGAATCAAAAATATTTCCACAGTGTTGATTTAAATCCGGCAAGAGAGTGAATTTCATTATCTGCGTTTTCTGCCTCGTCTGCCATGTTGCTGAGGCGGCCGCAGAGCGCAGCCGCGCACGGAAATGGTGACAAAAACATGCCTTGTGAATTTCAAAATAAAAGCCTATTCTAAAGATGACGATATGAATCGATGTTTAAGTTTTGCCACGATATAATTGAATCAATCATTTAATCGATATATCAATTTAAATCCATGTATTGTTGCACCCCTAGGGGTCAGTGAAGAGCACCGGACTTGTTGAGAGTGGTGAAGGCTGCACAGAAATCTGTTGGAGTCAGTCTCCCCACCATCACAGACATCTACACCTCCAGATGCAGGAAGAGGGCTACCTGCATCATGAAGGACCCCACCCACCCAGCACACACACTTTTTGCCCCACTCCCCTCAGGAAGGAGGTTAAGGAGCATTAAGTGTAGAACCACTAGACTGAGGAACAGCTTCTACCCTGAGGCTGTTAGACTCATGAATCTCTAACTAGAATAATCACTGTGAAAAACCATATCATGTTGCTGCTGATCTGTTTCATGTTGCTGCTGATCTGTTTCAATGTTGATGTGTTCATGC